ATGTATTAAGCATATTATTATAGCCTAGTGTACATGTGTCAATGCGTTTTCTATGAGTATTTCCTGTTTAAAGTGTCAGAATTGTCTAGATCATAGTTTGCATTTCATAGACACAATTTTCCTGTCCGCTAAGATTTATTGTATATTTCCTAGTTATACAACGTATTTTCATAAGTCTCAATATATTGTCAGTTTCATATCTGTATTGTATTCAATATGTTAGGTAGGTAATAAGAGAATGGAACTTATAGAGCCAACTTGTGTGCGTTGATCAGTTAAGTGTAGTCTGTAGTCTTGCTAAACGAGGTTACGTGCCTTTAGTTGATATTGATTCTTATCAGTATAACTTTTCTCTTTTCAGAATAAAATTTTATTATTTCTGTAACATAATTCTGCTTGGAATAAAAGACATTACTGGAAGTTTGTCTTATCTAGTACCTTCTTCGCCCCCTAAGGATAGTCTGGAACAAAGAGGAGCAGCTTGTATGTCTTGGGAAGGTTCAGTCTTGGAAGTTTTTCAAGGTTTGTTCTATCAGTTGCCTTACATATAGTGGGTACATTTCCAGCAGCACACTCACACTGGGATTCAGCTATAATACCATCTATGTCAATGTGATACGAAACTTTCTTCTTCATTTCTGTATGACATTCGGATTTGAAAAAATATAAACCGTCAGTAGATGCTATTCTCAGAAAACGATTGGTTTTCCAGTCGTCATCAAGTTTCTTTTGAAATTGTTCATGGTAACACAGGATAGATTCTAACTTCAGTAATGAAAATTTGGTATCAGTGTTAATGTCTTTGTAGAGATCATAATTAGGAATTTCCATTGAATATTCATTTTCCAATTTTTCGTGTTCAATATCTTTATTTCTGTCAAAAAATTCAAGCCTAAAAAGTAAAACATAAAGATAATTTTTTTCAAGAACTTTCTAACCCCAGAAACTATTATAATAGGAAAAGGGTAGGGCCCAGAACTACCATCCTACATGAATTGAACTGCCCATTATCATCACAGGAGCTATCCTTAAATTCGAAAGGATTAAATTGAAATTGGAAAATGGTAAGGCCTAGATCAATCACACTACAGCCATCGATAGTCTATAACTACTAATCAAGTCACTAACCTAGGCCTAGCTAGGCCTAGCCTATTAGGCTATAGTGTCTTATGTAGACTACTTGATTTTTTTTCTTAATCTGATTATCTCAGATTATCAGCACTTTTTCAATTATATTGTCTTTCAATTCACACTACGCAACTGCTAAAGAGTGAAACTGTCGAAGACACCTGACCACTTGTCAGTTTTAACTACTTTCGCTTTTTTGGCAGGACGTATTGATCTGAGCTTATCTAGTTAACGGATGCTAAAAATAATCAAAGAAACTTACGAACCTTTCGATTGAATCCTTCTTTCTTCCAGATACTTTTCCCACTCTAGATTTAAATTCCTTTCTCAGTTTAGTTAAGTCCCATAGACCATAATCACGCTTCGTCCATTTACATGATCGGCCATTGTTGCAGAACCGCTGGACCGCAATAGCCGTCGCGCCATCTACATCAAGGAACGACAACTCGCGAGTTTGGTTCCCCATTGGTAACATTCTATTTCATTTTAGATCTGACAAGTCATATAATGGTTTTTAATATCAAATACTTACATAAAACATTTACAGTAGTTGAACTAATTCCTGTTCCAGTTTGTTGTAAACCAGTAGTTGATATCATGATATTACTAACTGTACATGTATATTGTCCTGTTTGATCTCTATTAATACTAGATATAGTTAAATTCTGTTGAGATTGTAGCAAGTTATTGGGTCCAGACCAAGTATAATTATTAGGTACAGGATTAGATGTAGCTATACAGGGTATAGTGAGGG